AATCTTACACAAACCATGTTCCCGTTCGTCACCTGTTCCCAGTCAGACAGCTGCCTTCTAAAAATCAGTATCCTTAGAAACACTTTGAACCACTTAGAACATCAGCGGAGAAAGGCATATACTGTAGTTCATCAAAACTTAGTAATATACATCATATTCACCTGCTATATTGCTAAATGCACCCAATTTTTCATATCAACTGAAAAAATATACTGTGATAACCTGACTTCTCTTGAGTCTCCCCTGCTTCACAGCAGTGATTATATGCCAAAGCCAGCCCGCACTTTGATGTGATTGCTTACAAGGTAGTTTATGACGCAAGAAACACCGGCAATTTCAAACATCGCTTTTGAAACGGTATTGCAGTTTTAAGGACAAAATACTCAGCAATGGTGTTGACTTATGAATTTGCACATGGTTTGTCTTTGCATTGGCTTGCCTTGATTTTGTGGTTTTCTATGTACACATTGTTGATAATCTGTGACATGTGACCAAGTGTTTTTGGTGCTGGTCCAGTTCTGTTTTTAGGAAGATCACTTTTGTATGCTTTGAGTGTGAGATAAGGGACTTTTCATTTCAATCTTGAAACTTGCTCACTCAAAGTGAGTCCTTGAAATTATGGATTCTGTTTAGATACTATTCAGGCGCAGGCTGGTCTCTATCAAACATCATTACATCAGAGTTATAGTGGGTGTGATTTTGCATGAGCGTTGTAATGGTTCTTGCTCTGTAATATACGAGTCATTGATAACTTGTGAGATCATTTAGGTCAAATATTCTTTATGGCACTACAATGCTTCTTTTGCCAAGACTATATTATTAATGCGGTGTCATTGTCATCTGATGCACATCTAAATTTTGTTTTAAATAAAAGTTAAAGGGTGGAAAGTATATAACTGGAGTGCCCTTCTGTCAAGGAAATGTCTTTCCTTCCTCTTACAACTTACATTTATTTGCATATCAAGTTTAATTACATGCTTTCAGATTTATTGTCAAGAGCTTTATGGTTTGGTACAGAGTGAAAACAACTAAGGTTAGTCATATTCATGATGTGGGGTTGAACTGACCCTGAGCATCTGAAGGCAAATTTACTTTATTGTTCTTCTGGTATTGCTAAGGTGAGATGGATTTCTTTCAGCATGTGCTTAACAGATGATTGTGTGTCTGATTTGTGCAGTCTTGCCATGTGGGTTGATTTTATTGTTTGCTTACACACATCCACAGACAGACACAAATGATTGACAGATGTGCATTTTCAGACGCACGTGTGTGAACATCACAATCTTTGGAGTGCAGTTTATGCTCACTGTATTGACATTAAATTTGCAAAGAATTAATAATTCTATTACATCCATCAAGCCTTACAACTTAGAACACTACAACTGAGAGTTTTGGATTAGAAGTAAATGCTTAGCAATGTGTCATTTTCACCACACAGCTTTTCCTCTGTGTTTGAATTAATGAAGCGCCAGACTTGTAATGCAGTTATGGTTACCATAAGCATTTCGATGAAGTCTGTGGTGGAGGTCTGGTTGGTGTAATCAGATTTAGATTCATTAAGATCTTTGCTTACCAAGCTGTTTCTCCCACCCAGAGGATCTAACACTGACAACCACCACAACGTGCCAAACCCTGAGGGTATGTAAACTCAGCAAAATGTATCTTTTTTTTTTTTTTTCTGGGAAGTGGTCCAAGTAAATAAACTAGAGCTCCCTACCCACTTCATTTACAGCAGAATGTGTGAAAACGCAGCAGGGTCAATGCATGTAGATTTGTCATATGGGAAATTGAATGTATGTAATTATGCAGCAATTGTTTAGTCAAAGCAGTTTGTAATGAGAAGCAGTCTTCCTAACATGTATTATACATACTATTGCAACAGACTGGTATACATATGATCTACCCATGTAAGGGAGAAAGTCTGGCTCTTTTATAATAATGATAATAATAACAATACAGATTATTTTGAAAGATTATCTATGCTTGTACTGTATCTCAGTGACTCTTTCTGTAGGTTATACCATTGCATCAGTAAGTGGCACCAAAACACTTTATGAGTGAGTCACTGAATTATTCATTTAACTGATTTGTTCAGACACATTGGATGCTTCTCAAACAGAAGGTTGTGTCCTTCCTAGTCCAGTCCTTCAGAAAAAAAACAAAACCTGTAATACTAGAAACCTTTATATTAACTGCTTTTCTTAATGCAGTACAAGTAATGACAACCATCTGTGGTCTCTCGGTGGTTTACATTACGCACAGTTTAGCATTATGTGACAAAACATAATGAAAGGAAAAAGAAATCCTTTATCTCCAAAATCCTTTTTTTTTGTGATATGGAATGTGTGCGAAGGATTGTGGGGCATTTATGCGTCCTTCAAAACAAACTGAATGAAGGATCTAAAAAAATGATCCTTTAAATTGAGCCAATTGACATGGCAGTCAAGATATGCAGCCTTATAAGACACAGCCTTCTGATTGAAAATTACCCATTAATTCATACAGGAAATTAAATGTTGATGAGTGAGCCAATGAATAATGCACTTAATTGATTTTTTTTTTTCAAACACTGATGTATTCAGGAACAAAACATGTGACTATCATTGAGTAATTCACTCAACCTATTCGTAAAAAAATAAATAAATAAAATAAAACCGATTCATCGAGGAACTTCACTACTGTCTTGCTTGGAAACATCCAGCGTTTGAGTCTACTGTGGCTTTGTTTGGAATTTTCTTTGCGTAGCCAAAACAGACAAAATAGTTACTTTATTTACTTGCTCCATTAACTGTTGCATACAACACATTCTCATCCCAAAAAGTCATATAACTGACTTTTTGGGACGTCTTTTGACCATACGTCAATATTCGCCTTTTTAGGGCCCCCTTAAACGTCACTAGATGGCGATCCCGGGCCGTCATACAACTGACGCTTTACCTTTAACCTTTGGGGTAGAGTTAGGATCCCATAACCTCATCTACCGACGTTTAAGGGGGCCCTAAAAAGGCGAATATTGACGTATGGTCAAAAGACGTCCCAAAACGTCAGTTATATGACTTTTTGGGGTGAGACTGCGCTGCGCATAAAATAGAAAAACACTAATTGTGCTGCTGGTCTGAATATTATAACAATCAGTCAAACATAATGAATCTAGGTAGCGAACAATGAGCAAACAAAGCTAAAAGGGAAAGGTTTAACTTGAGGAGTGGCTTTTTGTTTTGTTCTAGGTTTGGTCCTGGGACTTATTTGCTTTGAATATTGAAGTACACTGAGTGTTGTGAATATAGCCAAACATGGACACAAGTGTTTTGAATACATCCAAACATTATGAATAGTTCATTTAAAACTCTGGTCTGTGTTTGTTTGTTGGGTTAATTCAATATTGACTTTGGACTGATTTTGTTGATGTTTCCTTTTCTTGATATTCTTTGGACCAGATGAACTTTAGAATTGACTTAATGTTTATTTGTGCCACATTTTTTAGACTCCTTTATGCTCAAATTAATTTTTTATACATTGTGATTGACATTTATACACACAGTTGTTTATTTGAAGTGTATTTGCTATATTGTGAAGTGTATTTTGCTATATTAATGTCTTGTTTAACTAAAGAAAGCATTTGTATTAGGCCTGCATAGCATAGCACTCAGTATATACAATTGCTATCAAAGGCAGTTCTAAACAACCACTGCTACAATATGCACCAGTAGGACGTCTGTTTCTGATGTCTGTTATGGGACCACCTCTTCCTTCAGAGGTGATATTAATCTGTCTTTTACCTCACTAATGACTTTACCACAACACAGCTATATATTATTCTATTATTCTCTAAAGAAAACTGTCTCACTTTCTTTAGGCTGATTTATGTATTTTCTCAACCATATGTGAAAAATGCTATACATTTTATAATTATGTGTTATTCACCTCAATCCAAACTTGTTTTTGGTTTGAGGTTCATAAACATTATCTGACTGTAGTCCTCTTGATTCATCCATCTTTTATTTAAGAAATACAACTAGTTTCAGGATCTTTCTGTTGTTATGGCTCTGCTAATGGGGAATGTGAGGTCCAAACCAGTCTGCTCTGCAGTTGCGGGGAAAAAAGAAAGAAAAAATGTGAGGTCCCAGAGAGAGTTATGGTGTCTTGAACACATGGTCCATTAACTCATGCACATCTATATGGAACATGGTGGAGTCATTTCTTTGGAGTTATTGATTAAACATTCGTTTTTTTTTGGGAAATGTGTTTTGATCCAACAGGACGGGGCTATTGTGGTAAATGAGAGTTCAGTTCGAGAATGATGTGTTATTTACTCTTCAATTAGCTCTTCTCTCGTACATGCTGCTTGACTTCACTCTCTTTATGTCTACCGTGTCTTTAGTCTTTGGTCTGTCCACACTGAAAGCAAAAATGTGTCCCACTTTATATTATGTGGCTTTAAAACTATGTACTTACATTGAAATTAATAATTTGATACAATGGACTTATTGTGTACATATATGCTTTTACATTGTACTTATATTTTGAAAATACCTGCATGTAATTACAGCTGTAATTAATAAATGTTATTACGTTTGTAATTACACAGTTGACCCTTCCCTTACACCTTAACCCACCCTTAAACCGACCCATACAACCACACCTGACCCTAACCTTACCCGTATCACACCTCAATAGCAGCAAAAGTGTTTACAATACAACCTGAACAAAATAAGTACATTGTACTTATTTTTCAATGTAAGTACATAGTACTTAAAGCCACTTAATTTAAAGTGGGACCCAAAAATGCAGCCTCGAATATACCCAAACATAAAAGTGGATTTGTTTGCACTCTCTTGCACATTGAAAAACCTTTAACTTGTATAGCTGCTACGCTTCTACAGATAGCATGCTTTTTGTGGTTTTCCTTGTTGAAGTTGTGTGATTTGTCGTCATATATCAGTCTCTTAGGTTTTAACAGGTTTACAGTGAGCAACTTAAAAATATAGTAGGACAGAAAGTAGGATTAACATGGAAGAGATTTATTGCTTGTCACCATACAAGTGTTTAGACGGAAATGCATTGTAATCTTACAGAGGTGCCACAGCAATGTAATATTAATTTTCCAGACTATAGGTAACAAATAGCCTTCGAAAGTTTGGGGTTGGTAAGATTTTGTAATGATTTTGAACAACGTTTCTTATGCTCATAAGTCTGCAACACTTTTGCAAACAAGTGTACAGTTAAACAGTTAACAGTTAGATCAGTTCTCATTATGTCCTTAAAACATTTGAAGTGAAGACTAGGACAAGGCACAAGACTTGCACTGTACATCAAAACAAAGTATGCCCATACAGTAAATCCAGAGTAAAATATTAAAACATAAGATAATTTACAACATGCTTATTCAAAACAGTAGCACCTTGAATACTAAGCAGTTCATTCTGCTGTCATGCTTTCTGATGTAGACTAAATATACATATTATGTTATAATATAATATTGCGTGCTATTTAAAAACCTATTAAAAGGTCAAATATAAATGTTATGAAGGACTCGTAGGCAGAACACCCAATCAGGAGGCAGCTTGTGGTACTCCAGTTTATTTCCGTCCAGCCTCAGGATCTTCATACGTGAATATGATGTGGGTCCTACTGTCCTGCAGAGACTGCTCACGTTGAACGCTGGACAACACAACAGGAAAGTTATAGCAGAACAGATTGATTGTTGTAATTTAGTTGCCGTGTATACTTTTTTTAATGGTCATGCCACAAGATTAAACATAAATAGATTTGTTTGATATTATCTTATGGTTAACCATTATGGCAGTACCAACGCATTCTCATCCTTTAGCGTCATATAGGTGACGCTATATGACAAAACGGCAAAATACTACGCACATGGCTATCGTTAATATTAATTATCGTTAATATAGCACGTGCTGTGATGGGTAGGTTTAGGTGTGGGGTAGGGTAAGGTAGTCTCATATTCACGCTAAAGGATTTATGACGCCTTGGGTTCGCGTGTTATATTAACGATAAAGGGCGCCATTTGCGTAGCATTTCGCCGTTTTGTCATATAGCGTCACCTATATGACGCTAAAAGGATGAGAATGGGCTGGCGGTACTGTAGTAGCGTTATCATCACTACGAGAAGGGTATTTATTGATTTATTTATTTTTACATATTTTCACATTTGTCTTAACTTTCACACTTTCAAAGTAAGCAACTTTATCTAGCAGGCTGTTTTGCAAAAAAAAAAAGAATGTAATGTTACCTCTTCCACTGTTTACTGTTGACAGAAATAGCAAGACAGTGAGGTCAACATATTTAGTGATTAATGTGACGAGCCATTTAAGGGAATTGCAAGCAGACATCAATCCTTTACAAGATCACACACAACAGTCAAACTGCAGCCCTCGTAAACAGGAGCTGCTTCCCAATACCGTGTAAATAATAACAGGTGTGCTGGCATTGGCACCTCTTCAGTGTTCGCCGGATTCATCCTGGTTTTAGATACTCATTGTGATGGTAGGATAATAGTTATGTATCTAAGCTCTAACTATCCAAGAACTGAAAGACCATGAGGTATGTCTGGTGACATTGAGACTATTCTCAGAACAGAGAATTGATATGCGTTTATCTGTTTTTCCAGTCCTCTAGCCTGCAATCCATCAAAAATAATATTATTATCATATTTTCTGGAAATCTATGTGCAAAACAGGCACACAGTGTCTCCATCCTCAGACTGGAGCCTTTTGAATAGGTCTTGTTAATACATTTTCTATTACAGTACAATATTTCCATTTGTTTTCTGAAGGTAGCTCTGACAGTTTGACAGGCCGTTTAACCTTTATAACATCCACTTCTAGGTTTTAATATAGCCTACCAATTGTCTCTTTAATCTTTTTCAGTAATGGCTTGTTAAACATTGGATTATTATACGTCACTTTGAGCTGGTAAACCACTATTATTGTCACAATTAGTCAATACATTCTCGATTACATTGTTTTCTAAAGGATAAATCTGACTGAAAACTTCCACTTCTAGGTTTTAATATAGAAATTGGCTATTTTCTACAGTGGCTTGTTAATAATTAGAATATTATACTTTACTTTGAACTGGTAAACCACAGCTAATGGCATAACATTTCGTTATATGGTTCAAAACAGTAAATCATGACCACTGCCTGAAAAAAAGTAAAAGTCTGCTGCTGAAGTATTTGTTGACCAGTGGCACAGCTCTTGTAACTGAGCTCAGCGTGCTGTTGAGGAGGAGGGGGAGAGAACAGAGCGTGCTTTTAGCACATGTGGATTCCTTCTGGAGTATTCACAGATGTTCCCAAACAAACCTTCTGTCTTTATTTTCTCCCTCGTTCTCTTTCAGCTAACCTACTTTTTCTAGTCACCTTGTGTCTCTCCAGGATGTTTCTGTCTGCAAACACGTTGTGACAAACGCATTAGAGAATGAGAAAGGGGGAAAAGGAAACCTAGAGAGGAGGGAAAGTTTGTTATTTCTCTTCTAAAATCCTGTCACATTTTCCGTCATTTTCCCATGGCCCGTCTGATTCTGAATGTTGATTCTCTCGTGCCAGAGATTATTTCATCGGGCCTGAGAACATAGCCTCATCTTAGACAGGACAAACATTTTAGCAGTTCTCAGTCAAGCGTCCATATTTGTTTAGAATAATTTCTGCACTTGGCTGATATTTAACTCTTTCCCTGCTATTGACCGAGTTGTCTTGTCTTTAATGAGAAAATGCTTATTGATTCTGAGACCATTTTACGTCTTTTTGTATTTTCACTGTTTAAAGGTACGGGGTGCTAATACACCTCTTCTGAGAGAGTACTGAATCCCCTGATCAAAACACAAGTGAAGATGATGCAGAAACAAGCGATAATATAAGTAATCATATGCATATGTAAAATAATGCGATCATTTAACGTTAAACAGCATATAAATCAAAACTGCCTAATGTTACTGAATGAAATGTTGTCGCAGGACGAGCTATAGGACTGTGAAGCTTTGGGGGTATTGATGGACTTGATGTACTCCATTTATGTTTTGATCATCATTCTGAATCCGATCTGGATGCAGTCTTTGACAAAACTTTGACAAAAAAAAAAAAAAAAAAAAAACTTTGACAAATTTTTTTTCTCAGCTTACCCATATTCAAGTGTTGATAATAAAGAACAAATTAAGCTAGAATAAAGCGTTTTTTTTTTTTTTTTTTAAAGCAGAGGGTCTTTTCTTTGTTATTTCTTTTTTATATATTGCATGTTCAGATATTACAACATACAAAAAATATTCTAGGGGCCATGATATTTTTGTGAAAGATACGCTGAGAATGCAAAATTGTACAAAATACAAAATCTGATTTTGCACATACTGTAGCATGCAGAATTGTAATTTGAATTTAAGTGTACTTAAAATTAACTGAAATTTTGGTAACACTTTATTTCGATAGTCCACTTTAGACATTCTACTAACTATAAGTAACTTTTCAACTACATGTCAACTAACTGTCATTAGAGTATAAGTAGACTGTCTGTCTTATCTGCTAACACTTTATTTTGTTGGTCCCTCAACAGACATTTAACTGCTTAATAAGTATCTTGGCGACTACAAGTAAACTTAAACCCAAACCCTAACACCTAACCATGACCTTCCAGTCTACTGACAGTCTACTATAATATACTAATACTCTAATGAGAGTTACTTGCCATGTAGTTGAAAAGTTACTTATATTTAGTTGAACGTCTACAGTGACTATCAAAATAAAGTGTAACTGAAATTTTTACAAAGCTTTGTACGAAAGTTTAGAAAAAAAAAAAAGGTTGTATGGACCTTTTGAAAACCAATCTGTTAGAAATACTTTTATTCAAGAAATGTATAAGTAAAGATAGAAGTATTTTTCAAGAATACCATTTACTGTTGAATTTCTCAGAATCCATCAACTTCCTTCACATCAAATTCCAAAATTCCTGTGTGGCAAATTCAATTGAAATACACATTCCCAAGTGAAGGAAGCTGAAATTGTGTTGTTTGCCACATGGAAGTGATTTTGTAGATCAAAACCAATCCATTGTTTCCTCACTGCTTGAGGTGCTTCTGGCTTTACTTTCATTTTTGTATTAGTTTGTTTTATTATTAAACATGAATGTTCGCTGGTTTTCGCCTCCTTCTTCCCATGACAACTGAACCCCATTACAATAAGGTTCTCTGTTTTGTGTCTTGACATAATTATTCTGTCAATCAACTTGGCATGAAAATTTCCTCCGTCACATTGAAATTAAGCAGTGCTGATTTTTTCTCAATGCAGTGCTAAAGAATAAACCTCAGTGTATTTGTTTGTGTAAAACAAGATCCTTACACCAACTCACCTTGAATTTGGTTAACCTCAAGGTAGAGGTACTGAAGGGTGGTGGGAACGGTTGGGATTTCTGTTAGCTGGTTATATGAAAGGTCCAGCTCTACCAGAGATGTGAGGTTAAAGGCTCCAGGGTCAAGCCCTTCATTCCTCAATTTGTTGTGTCCGAGCCGTAGGTAACGGAGTCCATTAAAACCATGAAGGCTGTTCTCGGTCAGGCTTGTAAGAGAGTTGTTGGATAGGTAAAGCTGCTGGACAGATGAAGGCAGATGTTTGGGGAAAGTATCCAGGAGGTTGTGACTGAGATCCAAGAGGTTGAGGCCTCCAAGACCTGGTGAAGTACATGAAAGATAGAGTTAACGCTGAGTTTACAGAATGATCAACTTTAATATCAAAGTTTCTTGATGATTTATTTAGGGATGCACAATATATTGGTCTCATATCAGTTATCAGATAATAGAGATTTATTTTTTAATGAATTAATGAATTATTTTTGTATCAGTATCTGTTGTTGGATATTTAATAAATTAGTATTAATTGTCATTTATTATTGTCATTTCCTCTATTTTTTACATTTAGATTTAGGGCTGGGTATCGTAACAAAATGTTTGATACCGATACCGATACCTTGACTTCGATACCGGTTCCTGAACGATACTTTTTCGATACCAATTTTATGTAACCAGTTTTAACAATATAATATTACCTACATGTTTATTTTATTTTTCAGTTTGTTGACTTTTTCACACTCATATTTTGAGTATGTAAAAAAGCACCAATGCTAAAGTTTTCTTTATCATTTAACAACATGTACAGTATTCTTTACTTCAATGAGCTCATTGTTTCTGTCTTATCATAATGCATTGTTTAACAATGAAACTGTATGAAAATTAATTGAAATCCATTACATTGTCTCCTCTGAACAGATCACTCTAAATTGTAATTTAGAAACATGCATATTCTGCAAAGCTGCTTTGAAACAATATGTATTGTGAAAAATGCTATTCAAATAAATGTGAATTAAATTAAATATAGGCTACTGGGGGACGGGATATATGCCTCGCGCTCAGCACACATAAAGATTGCCGCAAAGCACTGGCAACAGTAGCCTAATGATTATGGATGTGTCGGGAAACAATAGCAAGGATAGATTTTAATTGTTTATTAATGAACAAGTGTTTAATAAGTGTGCTGGCTGCAAATATGATTATGGTGATGCTGACTCGTCATTCCTGAAGTAGTGAATGCTGTAAGCTTATTGTTTCACTGACATTGACGAGATTAACCAATTAGGTACCGAAATTTAGTACCAAAAAACAAGACATGTTTCGATACTCGGTAGCACCGAGGCAATTCGGTCGTACCTAAAAAAAACCAAACTCGGTACCCAGCCCTAATCATTAAACATTTAAAGTTAATCTTTAAAACTAATAATTTTTAACGCTGTTAAATATAATCTTTAGCAAATTTAAAGCTGCAGTCGGTACAGCTTTTTTGGGGGTTAAAAATGATCCAAAATAACCAGCCAGTGTTTAAAACTATCTGCTCGCCTTAGCTTGATTCAAACCGGTAAGCTTGTATTAATGTTTTTAATTCTAGTGGTACTGGTAGTACTGATGGTACAGTATCAGTTTCCGCGGGAGATTCGAGCATGTTTTTGCGTCATTACGTCACATCTGTTACTAGTTCAGATGACATTTTCCGATGAATATTCTTATGTTGGTCATTCATCCAAAAAGAATAATCTGTGATTATGAATGCCAGTCTCCGCGCTGTGCCGTATCGAGGGTGTTGAAGTACAACTCGCGTATAATTCCGCGAATGACTGCAATTGCAGATTTCGAACAGAGATGGCAACAAATAGGAAAAACTGAGGACTGCAGCTTTAAAAATTAATATTATCATAATATTTATAATAATTGATTTTAGTGCTTAATTATCTGTTAAACAGTGCATTTCTACATTAAGCATTTGCAAGAAGCATTTCAAATATGTAAATATCAATAAATACCTTTTAAGTCACTCCCTTCAATAATCTTCAGACGGTTGCCTTGTAACAGAAGTACTGTTAAATTGGCCAGATTTTGGAATGCATCTGCAGAAATCTTTTCGATGTGATTATATGCGAGTCGCAGTTGCTTGAGTCCGCTAGGCAGTCTGGCTGGCACCTTTGTCAGGTTATTATTGTTTATGAAAAGATTTACCAATCGGGTCAGATTGGAGAACAACACATTATCGAGTTGTTCACTCAGTAGTTGATTGTGATCCAAGATCAACCAACGCAAGTTGGTGGCATTGGCAAACGCCCCGTATCCAAGGAAAGCAATATTATTTCCTTGGAGGAACAGGTACTGTATGCGGGACGGAAGGTCAGAGGGAAGCTGGTTAAGGCCCCTGTGGTCACAATAAAGGGCCGTTGGCCACTGGATCGGGCAGTCACACTCCAATGGACAACTTTGTGCGTTCACAGCGCGAAACCAGCCTGGATCCATCCGATCTTTCAAAGTCAAAACACTCGGCTCGCCCAAAAAACGGTTGATCCAGAGTGGTACACCTCCATAGTCCAAGTCCATTGTGAAGGCCCAAGTCGGCCCACACAGAGAGAGTAACAAATAAATTGATCTGATATCCATTTGTCCGCCTGCCTAATGAAACACAAACAGGCTCTAAAAACCCTTTAATAAGAGTGTATTATTCAAACTAATCAGGAAGCTTATTTTCTTCTGGCAGCAATAAATAAAAGCTTACACACATGCTGTTTAGAGAAAATAGCTTTTCATTTAAGTTACAGCTGCAATTCCTCTGCAAAGCTTTTGCATTCTTGCTCAATAATAATATTTTGAATATAACTTAACATCTATATAATCTCCATTTCATTATCAGCTACGGTTAATAAACTACTTTCAAGAGCGTCAATGAATATGCAAGTGGCTAAACTGGTTAAAAATGCTAAAATTTCATTCTCTTTCGTCATGCATCATCTACTAATGTGAGAGGAATGTGCATACCTTTCAGCACTCTTCCGCAGCCAATTTTAGTTTGGAAAGCCTCTGAAAAGGTAGATTTGTCGACTGTCCCTAGATGTTTACGCTGGACACTGAATGGCAACCTGAAGAGTTTTACCCAGCTACTGAAACATTCTTCCCTCAGCGATGGCCTTTTCTTCCATACAGCTTATTCTCACTCCTTTTTTTCCCCAACCTGTCTCGGAAGCCTGGTTAGAGTCTAACCACTGCACAACATTTGTTAGAAACATGTGTGCTGGCAGCGGAGAGAGGGCAATCTTTACAGACAATGCTGTTGTGATTTAAGATCTTTTGGAATTAAATCACATCACATTATGTGTGGATAGAAATCCTGTTTTTTATTTATTGTGACTTGTTTCTTCAAAGCTTGATAATGTATTATGGACAACTGATGTTTAATCATATGTCAATGCTTATGCAAGCCATATACTGTTACATAAACAGCCTGCAGCCCGCTGACTGATGAACTGTAATATCACGTCATTGAGCCTGTGAGAAAGAGGAGTATGTTTGAAGGCAGTATGTTTTCTCTTTGCAGCTCTGGAACATTTAGCACAGAGAGCAATGGTTACACTCAGACAGCTGGAGGGGGCCTGGGGAGCCAAACAGACCCCGTTCGTCTATGAGAAAGCAAGAGAAAAGAAAAGAGGGAGAGGGAGAGAGAGTGTGGTTTAGCTGAGATAGCTTTAGTCCAGCACTTCAAAGCCCTTCCAAAATGGATGAGACAATGTTTTGGTCTATGAACGTCTGAAAAGTCAGAGTGCCCCCTAGCACTCAAATCAACCATAACAATCACAAAAGCAAAGTTCTGCATTACCTCCTGTCCTGTTGAAATATTGTTATGAATATAGTGGAAGATTTTTAGATGAGACTATTATGAAATATTACTATTCTACATTTATACATATTATTATAGTTACTTATTGCTTTAAATTAATATTTAAATTACATATTATTATTGTTCTGTGTGGTTCTAAAATATATTTTTTACTGCCCCCGCCCCCAAATTAAATATTTGAATTAGATTATATTATTAATAATATGTATTATTTTCAAATATAATTTTAACATAAATAAAATTAACATAAATCCCCAAAATGTTTAGACAAAATGTTAAACAACAGTTTAGATTATTCTGCAATTTCACAAAAAGCACCAAAATCGGATGATTTTTTACAACACTGAAAAGTTTATGTTGGTCTATAAATTGTAATTTCTCAAGAAAAATGTTTGAATTATTAAGCATAACTCTTATTCGATTTTATACTTAGTAAGTTTGACACCAAGAAGAACATGATGTGCGCTGACATGTTTGAACTTTTTTGAACTCTCTTTAAAGGCTAGACAGGTAGTTTTTGAAAAACACTGACTTAACTGTGTAAGTATTGCTCTGAGCTGGAGTGTTTTTGAAGGGGGCCTATATGTTATTCCGTTCCTTCACTGTAGTCCGCCAGTGACTGCCAAATTTCTTTTCCATTTAAACAGAAGGAAATGAAGAACCTTCCAATGCTTTTTGGAATTGAACTTGTTACCCAGCAGACAGTGCAGCCTGACCACAAAAAAAAACAAAACAAATTTCTTCGCATTCATGAAGAAAAAAACAGTTCCCTTTCGAGAGTTCTTTCGTATTGGGGAAGTAGCTTATGCTATGGGAAAACTCCTTTTCTCGAGAATATTGAAGCCAATTTTTTTTAAAAAGCAGTGCAGCTGCACAGCAGACATACAGCATGCCTAACCTATCTATAACCTATGGCGAGGCGGCTAACGCGCCCGTGCGCGTCAGAAGCCGTCAGAAAGGGGCGTGGCTTATAGCTATAAGCCACCATTTTGCCATAGAAGTCAGATTTAATCTCCTTCAGCAAGTTCCTCTTCGCTGACCTGTGGTTTGAGAGGTCCATGACGCATGCGCGAGAACTGAACTGAAGTAGTTGAAGGAGAACGCAATTCTCGCGCATGCGTCATGGAAATCTCTTGAACTCTCGTCTCAGGCCTGAAAAGGAATAGTCGAATAAAGTCGTTATTTTTGTTTGTTTTTTCACACAAAAAGTATTCTCGTCGCTTGATAAACATATTCTTGAGCCACTGTTGTCACATGGAATATTTAAACATTTTCTTCATTGACTTTCTAGGCCGTCAAGTTTCGATCCCTTAGGCAGCCTATGTAGCAGTGATCCACCTCTCAAATTTAATCAAAAATATCTTCATTTGTTTTCCGAAGACGAACGAAGGCATTATGGGGTTGGTACAGCATGGGGGTGAGTAATTAATGACTTAATTTTCATTTTTGGGGGAACTAACCCTTTAAGGACCCACAAAGACTAAACTAGACTAGCTAGCTTAAATATAAGGGTAAAGAGCTAACAAGATAACAAGAGAGTGTGGCTAATAGGAAGCACCTGTGACAGACTAATAAACATAACGGGGAGCTGCTAAACATGAAACAAGACAGAAACACTGACTAGACTGTGACAAACATGAAACCAGACAGAAACACCTTGTGACATCAAACCCTCTGGAAGTGCATGGGCCAATACAAAGGTTGTTCCTTTTTACAACCCTTTGTTTTCTGGGAGGGCATTTGAATGTTTAATTTCATATGTCATAAAGTTAGCAAAATGTAATGTAAAGTGACAAATGGGGGATGAAGATTGGAGATTATAGAGACTAGACATGCTACACATATGATTTTGGTTAATCATAGTAGGCTATGCAAGTCATGTTTCAGAGCAAAATAGTTTAGAAGAGAGAATGAAGACAGGAAAATTATGAGATGTAAAATTAGATACATGTTAATACATTTATCACATGGTTTTATATACATAGAATATATTAAAAGGGTTAATTTCTTCTTCTTAGCAAGAATTAAGAGAGTGTCACAACTCTCTAACCCTTGGCCATAACCCTTGGGTTATTGTAAAGCTTGTTATCAGTTTTAATGTGTCCTGTAACAGAAACCAGGTTCTGCCAGTGTAGGCTTCATTTGTGATGTTATAGTTTTGGGGGAAATTCCACAAACCTTTGTTGGGAGAAAGAGTTTTCTGGATTATTTATTACAAATAATGAATAATTTGTGTGTTTGATCCAGACGCTACATTCCTAACATTCATGTTATCCATCATCTCTAGTACAGTACTTCCTCACCATTCTCCATGTATAATTACAACTTCTAGTCAGAAAAATCCTGTGTATATCCAGTCAAAACACTGCTTACTTGTGTACATCGCGGTTTGTGTTTGCATTTTCATGAGCTTGCTCCTGTCATATGTGCTGTTTTTCTCTTGGCACAAGATGACTGAAGTCTTTGTAACTGTTGTAATTAGCAGACTGCTGTGGCAAAGTCATGCCAAGCCATGGGCACAAGACAGGCAAGCTGGAGATGTTACAGAGAGGGTATGACAAACAGTTCACAGGACAAGCCATTTCTATTGCCAAATGCATTCAAGCACAAATGCCTTGCAAAGGATTTACAGTTCTGTGGTAGAAGCCTGTGTTTTTCATTTCTCTCGAAGCCTTGTTTCGTGGATCTATACGTCATGTTACATTGAAGGCTTTGATCAAGCCTGCTGATTAATTCCATTCTGTATGAATGAATATGATCAGTTATTTCCTATTGAGATCATCTGCCTGCGCATATGACTCATGTGTTGGGTCCAGAATCGCATGCTTTTCCCTAAACTGATGCCTAGAGGGCGCTATATCTCAAACCACACATCACCTCACTACACAAAGGACATCAGAATGATATTTTTTTTAATTGTGAGAAATTAATAATGAATTGTGAGTTCGATAGCGGTTTGACCAATTCTAGAGTACGCCTAAGGTTTACTAAAGTGTACTTTGGCATGTTAATTTTATTATCTGCTAAATTCTAGCTACTAGAATAATACATTTATCAAAATATGAAACAAATGAAGGAACTTTTATGTCCCAGCAGGGGTTGATTTGTTTTGAAAGTAACAGATTTCAACTATTTCCTTTTTGTTTGACGTTGAAACTGTTTACTATTTACTATTACTATTAATTACGTCTTTTGCCTTAATAAACTCTTAATTACTTCTTATTAATAGTTAGTAAGGTAGTCGTTTAGTTAAGGCATGTACAATATGCTTTATAAGTACTAAAAAAAACAGCCAATATCCTATAATATACATGTTGATAAAAAAACTAGTTAATAGTGAGAATTGGACCCTAAACTAATGTGTTGCCAATGCCATACTGTACATAGAGCGGGGGTGGGTAAACTACTAATCCGACCCGTCGAGTATTTATTTATTTATTTTTTTTAAAGATTCCATCCATTTTGCATTTTTCCAGCAATACTTTGAGTTATATATACGAACTATTAAACTTTTGTCTAATAAACCATTTTGAACTGAAAATAGGCCCATGTAACTCATGAAATGTAGCCTAATAATTAGTTTACTGTCATTGTGAGGGGACAAGAGACACATTAACAAAGCCGTTTTCGTTATGTTAGGCACAAGATTAAAAATGAATGTGTACATATTGAGAATTAATATAATAGAGTTTGTAGCCTTAAGTAAATTAAAAAAAGCTTTAGGAGGGGAAGAGACAGGGCAAGATGAGGAGACTGAGAGAAAAAGAAAGGGTGATGGAGAGAGCAGGTATTGCAACGCATTCTCATCCTAGGGCATCTAAATCTCATCTAAATTACGCTTTTGACCATACGTCTAAATCTGACGCACATGGCACCCTTTAGCGTCAGTTAGATGACGCTTCCGTTATGGGTAGGTTTAGGTGTGGGGTAGGGTTAGGGTCAAGTAGATATGTCTCATTCTAAGGTAATAAAAACATCACGGTTTACTAAGTAAGTTCTTTATACACCGTTGAAAACATAGTTATAGATGTCATATTGCAATTCTGCTAATAGACACTTAAAATTTTTACACATTGCACCTTTAAACTAGTTGCTTATTAGCTTGCATATTGACTGTGTTTATACTTATACAGCACTTTATTTATTCTTCATGAGCATATTCTACATCCCTTAATTCTACCCAATACTTAACTTAACTTAACAACTACATCTCTAATTATTAATAAGCAGTACGTTTGGAGTTTATTGTGCCAAAAGTCACAGTTAATTGTGAATATGTGTTTCCCAAACTGAAGTGTGACCATAGTTTCAGCCTTCATTTACGTACACACAGAGATCATCACTCAAGATATTGTAAGAAAGCACATCTCAGAGAGATTCAGGTCACCTCTGTAGTCTGACCTCTGTGTGCTGAAACACAAATCACATATCAGCCTAAAGTTCAAAGAGGCTAAGTCACGGCTGGAGAGAGATCAGCAGGAGCAGGGACAGGGATGGCAGGAATGTAAAGTGTTTCCTGATGCTGAGTTCACCTCCCTCTGGGATCAGACTCTTTGCATTCTGGACCTGAGGCTTTTTAGAAACAGTGAGGCTACGTGCTGCTAAAGTAAGAATAATAGTTTACAGGGCTAGAGTGATTGAATCATATGTACGTGCAATCATGCATCCAAATAATGTTTAGACTGAAGGGATACTAGGGGGTGAAGAATCCCATGCTGTTTCATTGTATAGATTCCTAGATTTGCTTTCACATTCATGTTAAAACGGGCTAGCTAAATTTGTTTTTATAGGTGATTTGCTTAACTTAGGTTTGTTTAGTAAGCATCAGCGAGCTATTCACTGAACTAGAACACTTATTAGAGAAATAATAGTCAAGTCACCTGTATTTATGTTGCCCTTTTTAAAATACAAATTTGTTTCAAAGCAGCTTTACTGTGATAATAGGAAATTAATGTGACAGAGTTTGTTTTGGCTGTACAGCAGAAGAAAGTCATTGTCCAGTTTAAGTAAGTTCAGTGTAAAATCATGTCCATTTTAGAGATCATTAGTTATTCGTTTAATCCATTTATCTATACAGCAGCTCTGGAGAAATCAGTGATGTCATCGTCCAGCTCAGTTCAGTTTTCATACAATGGTGTCAATGCAGGCAGATCAATAATATTCTCAATAACTAATTAGACAAATAGTACTAAGTGTGAACTGAATGTAATGTTTTAGGTACTTGCATGTTCATTGCAATTAGATAATGTATTATAGTTTAAAATCAGATTAAATGCAAATAGTGTTTTTAAGGAATTTGTTTTTGACATTATAATGTACTCAAGTCTATGTAAATTTATAATTACTTCTATAGCCTTTGAAAAAAGGTGAAATTCCACTGCTGATTGATTTTATGGACACTTGTCATTTATTTTTTACATATTTATTGCAATGATGAATTTAGTAATAATCACTGGTTAGACTTTATTTTAAGGTGCCCTTGTTACTGTACAATTATACCAATAAGTACTGAGTAATTTTAATTAACAACATGTACTTATTATATACTTAGGGTTAGGGTTTGATTTAGGCCTGTAATTATGCATAATTACAGTTCTATAGTACTTTTAGTACATGCAAGATGTGTAACTGTAAAATAAACTATTAAAATCATCTCTTATTAGTATTACACAAAATTAAGATACAACCACTTACTCCAGTAACTTTAAAACTGCATTTGGAAGATTGGCAATGATTTTGAAAATGTTTTGACTCATTGGTACATTATACATACGAGAATTACCCAAAACATTTACAATTCCCACTACCTTTCCACACCTATGGTTTTTCACATTCACCATCCCTTTAAACAGTAAAAAAAAAATGCAGTATCCCTAAAGACCTGTGGTTGTGATGGTATATTCAGGTCTAAAGCTCTCTGGCTTTGTGTCTTGCATTGAGTCCAGACACAGCACGTCCAGCCCGCCACAGATCTGCTTACTTACCAAAAACCAGCTGGCTGCAACCAGCCATCAAAGACCCCAAAAAGAGAGGCCTCTCAGGAGATGGAGGACCTGACATTCCTCATGATGTGTGCCTGGAGATATGAAACACAAAAAGATAGGAAACACACAGGAGATTGAATGGCAGATGAATTTTAAATATTGGCCGCACTGTCCTTATCTGGTAAATAGCTTGATTTAGTAAGTCTGCATCAGAGGAAAATGTGATGAGTGTGTTTCTTTTTTTGAATCTAAAGTGAAAATGTATGTTGTGCCTCAGAGTCAGAAAGAGTCTGCAGAGTTGTATACAGCTCCCTCATGCACTGTTGATAGTTTGGTCAGTCTCGCCTTGAGGGCCGCATTCTCCTTAATGAGAAAAGCTTGATGTATGCAGAAGCAGATGTTCTACAGCTGGGAGTGATCGAGACCAGCCATTCAAAACTGGTGAAAACAAAATTGACTTGGGATGGAGAAAGGCAAGTCTTCTGTAATTGGACAGGGTTTGAGAGGGGGCTTCGGAGGGTGGAGGCAAAAAAGCTTGGGGTATTTGCAATCTTTGCCAAAGCCACTCCATATTGCTCCAGGGACTCACAGTGAGACAAAGAGAAGGCATTGCCTTTGTTGATCAGGTAGGTGTGATGCTGTTTGCGACTGCCAACATGTTAGTGCAAGATTGACTTATTTAGCTTTTTTTCTTCTTGCCTTATTTTGCATCTCTGCATCAATGGATACTTGTTGAAATGTTCCTCTTCGGATTTTGTACTGAGTGGAATACTCTCACAGTAGCTGAATTCAGGTTGTGTGTTGTTGTTTGTTCTTGAGCGTGTTCCTTGCGGAATTTAAATGGTTGAATGGTTTAAAAGTTTGTTTTTGTTCTCATGGTTTTTCATTTTTCCCCCTTCACCACTGACTGCACTATTTTGTCACATTTTGTATAGTATAGCCACTATTCTTCAGGTTTATTGTGCACAATGAACCATTTTTGTCTGGGGTGCAATCATTTCTGCATCTTCTTTTTATCTACATTCTCGATAACACTTTAGTTAAGGTTTCAAACGTTTATTTAAGGTTTTAAGGCTATTGGCTGTTTATAATCGCTTATAAAGCACATATTATTGCTTTATTCTGCATGACCATATTCTACATCCCTTAGTCCTACCCAGTAACTAAACTTAACAACTACCTTGTTAATTATTAATAAAATTAAAATTAATAGTAATAAATAAAATTAAGAGTTTATTGAGGCAAAATTCAAAGTTAATAGTGATAATTGTTCCCTAATCTAGAGTGTGACCACATTTTCTTTTTTGATCCCTGCTGCAAAACCGTTTTAAAGAACAAATTTTCAACTTTTATAGGGGTTTTGGTCATCAAGCCTAATCAGGCTTTTTTTAAGTTTAGATGAATTTTCGGCACTTGCCAGCTAGACAATACGGCAGCCAAGCTAGTCACCCTGCTGAAAAAACTGTTTAAATCAGTCTAAGATGGTCTTAGCTGTTTTACACTGGTCTCTAATCCAGTCCATACTGGTATTCAGCTGTTTATGGCTAATCTGGTCTATTTGCTGGTTAAGCTGATCAGGCAATGCCCCAAACCCCTTCTAAACAAGCCAGACTACATGCTGGAAGACCAGCTATAACATTTTTTTTTAAATCAGCTGAGCACCCAGATAAACCAGCTGACTACCAGCTTATCTGGGCAGCTGGACCAGCTTAAACCAGCAAAGACCAGCAATCCATCTCAGGATGGTTTCACAACGGGGTTGCCAGCAATTGGAATCATTTGAAAGAATCCTACAAATAGTAAAATGTTCTTTCTCTCTGCAGCTGTCGAGTCTCTTGTTTCTGTGACAATGCGGCTAGTCACTCTCTTGCTGTTGGGACTCCTGAAGTTCACGTTTGCTCATGACAGAGATCCCTTCCTATGGCTTTCTTCTCTGCACAGCCTTGGTTACGCCTCTCTGCAGGCCGACAACACCGGGGGAGAATGTCCCGAGGAGTGTGACTGTCCTCCAACCTTCCCAAGTGCCATGTACTGCGACAACCGCAACATTAAACAAATGCCCTACATTCCATCCCGTATGAAGTATGTGTATCTACAGCACAATCAGATCACCTCTGTTCCAGATAATGCTTTTGGAAATGCCACTAACCTTGTGTGGGTTATGTTGCATGAGAACCATATTAACTCAGTGGGCAAGCAAGCGTTTGCTAAACTGGCGAACTTGGATCGCCTGTACCTGAACAGCAACAACCTAACCGAGGTGCCGTCCAACTTACCTCACTCACTACGTGACCTTCGTCTTAATCACAATAAAATTGCCAAGTTGTCCCCCAACGCTTTTGAGGGCATGGAGAACTTGACCACACTTTTGCTCAATAACAATGGCCTACAGGATATTGATGGTGGCCTGAAAGGTCTGAAGTCGTTAACTCTGCTGGATGTGAGCAGTAACCAGCTCAAGAAGGTTCCAAATGGTCTTCCTGCGATGCTCCACCAGCTCTACCTAGAGTCCAACTCTATCGAAACAGTTCCAGTGAACTTCCTCAGCCAGTTCACCAACCTGCAGTATTTCCGTATTTCTCACAATGAGCTCACAAACAAAGGCATCCCCCAAAACACCTTTAACAACAGCGGTTTGGTGGAGCTGGATTTGTCCTTCAACAAGTTGGAGAGCATTCCTGTTGTTAGTACCAGTCTGCAACATCTCTATCTTCAGGCCAATCAGATCAAAGGTGAGGTCAAAGCCTTATTTGTTAGAATTACATATTTTATTACTGGACTAACCTTTTGTCAGGAGTGGCTTGTATGGATAATCCAAAGACGATGCGTGAGATCATTTTTTTATAAACTCTGGGAAGTAAAACACTACACTCCATGTAACATTAAAGGGTTAGTTCACCCAAAAATGAAAATTCTGTCAGTATTTACTCACCCTCATGTTGTTCCAACCCCGTAAGACCTTCGTTCATCTTCGGAACACAAATTAAGATATTTAGGATATTAAAATCGCTCCTGCATACAGTCCATAGGCTTCTTGAGGGACTGGCTCTTGCCGTCCCCGAAAAGTCATAAAAGACATCGTTAAAATAGTCCAAGTGACTACAGGGGCTCAATCTTAAGTTTATCAAACGACGAGAACACTTTTGTGCGCAAAAAAACAACAAAAATAACGACTTTATTTCAACTATTCACTTCCTTCTCCATAAGCCTATAGTCCGTTAACGTAGTGTGATTGCGTAGAGCTACGTCACACGTAGGCTCACTATTGGCCGACGCTGGTCATGTGTGTGTGATGCGTGTGACGTACAATAACAGAAGCTTACGCTATTAAACTAGTTACCTGACTCGCGCAGAGGGAGAAATAAACGAATAGTTGAAATAAAGTCGTTATTTTTGTTGTTTTTTTGCGCACAAAAGTGTTCTCGTCGTTTGATAAACTTAAGATTGAGCCCCTGTAGTCACTTGGACTATTTTAACGATGTCTTTAATGACTTTTCGGGGACAGCAAGAGCCAGTCCCTCAAGAAGCCTATGGACTGTATGCAGGAGCGATCTTAATATCTTAAATATCTTAATTTGTGTTCCGAAGATGAACGAAGGTCTTACGGGGTTGGAATAACATGAGGGTGAGTAAATACTGACAGAATTTTCATTTTTGGGTGAACTAACCCTTTAACAAAAGACCCTCTTGACAAGAACTGAGGAAGACAGAAATCTTTGGGTGCGTCTCAATCAGCTCACAAGCTCATGAATAAAATCCGGGTACTGGTAAGGACCCTGGTTCGGACCCTGGTTCACTACACATTGGGACAGTGATTACTCAATTTCCGGAGACATGACTACATGCAATGTCGTAGACCATTACCGCTGGTATTAATCAACAACAGGCAGGACCTATATATTTTTTATATTATTTTTTATGCCGTTTAAACACATTGTTCTGTTACATATCCTTGCAACATTTCAGTTGAATATTAATTATAAATATTAACTAGATATGTTCACTACGTAATGTGTGGACTTCAAGTTTCGGACTTCAGAAATGTGAGGTAATTTCTGGTCTCTGCAGTGCATTGTGGCGGTTTTTAGGGAGCGAACGTTCCAGTGCTCTGAAAGGATTTTGTGATTGAAACAGCCCTTATAATCCCTGATTAGTGCCCTGACTACCTAACTGATGGAAGTGATTGAAACGCACCCTTAAATACACAGAGGATGAAGATTAACAGAACAGGGAACAGGTGAGGACTAATTAGAAACCCTGACAATAGATGACTAGAACTCAGACAAAACAGTAGCCTGGTTAAAACCAGGCCATTCTCAGTTGTAACTGAGATATGGTCCTGCAAAGCGTCAAATCATTTCCAGAGGGGCGTCACCAGCGGACATCGCGGGAAGATCTAAAACCAATCAGGGGTGCGTTTCCCGTACAACGACGTAGTTCACTGCTTCACTACCATAGTACGATGCATCGTTGGAAAAATCAACTAGCTAGTCACGACTGTTTCCCGAAACCCACTGTCGAAAAGTATCGTTCAACCACGTTGGTTTCGCACGTGGTGGAGTAATAACTGCTTTTAATGAAACTGTTTGAGATCCAATTAACGCTAGATTTGTTTTATATAAATTACAGACATGTCATCTGAGGACTACTTCTAATTGTTCTCAGTTGTTTTGCTTTATTACCAGACTCAATATTTGGCTCGTTCTTACATAGTGGAGCGCGTTCGCACATGCGCACTTTTCAAACACGTTACTTCAAATCTCTTGACAAACTAAAAGACGTAAATTCCATTTGTAAGTATTCTAAATAAAAGGCACCGGTTGTACTGAATGTCAGCTTGCTCATTATGCTCTAGATAAGGATTTATTACCTCCAAATGTGTTGCAATATAGAAACGATGCTTATAACCACAGGTCGAGAGCTGTCGTTCAAACCACCCAACTTTGCGATGCTGTTTGCGAATGTTCGTTGGAACGATGGTTTCGGGAAACGCCGAATCGTTGAACTATGCTGATAACGACGGAACTTGCGACCATCGTTGGCTAACGATGCTTTCGGGAAACGCACCCCTGAGCGATGAAGGAGATGACGTTTGCAGAGCGGCGGCCGGCGGAGAAAATCTCCGAGTGTTGTTGTTTGCTCGGTTTTTAACAAAAAGGAAACGTTCAAATCGCTTAAAAACAGACGCGATAGCTAATTCGAGCGAGTGATATTCGACGGCGGCGTCCATCTTTGTAATGTAGGCTACAAAATCGGCTTCAAAATCCCAGCGCTGTCGTCATCGCGTAAAGCTCGCCCCAACGTTTCTGATTGGTGCCTCGATTTCTGCGGACTGAAAATGGGTTTGAATGAGTTTGAATGAATCTAAATTTGTCGGAAGTTGTCTGGGTTTTCACAGGCTAACAAATCAGACAATGAAAACTATAGAGGGGGTTGTTTACACCGTTTTTAACTAAAAGCGTAAAACTTTTGAAGCGTTTTGACCGTATGTTTACACGACAACGACATTTTGGGTGCCTGAAAACGAAAAGTTTTAAAACGATGACATCATGAACATGCGTATTACGTGTTTAGTCAAGTCAAGTCACATTTATTTATATAGCTCTTTTCACAATACAGATTGTATCAAAGCAGCTTCACAGTGATAACATGAAAGTAGTACAACACAGATCAATAATATTGTTAAATAGTCTATAGTGTTTCATCGCCATCTATTGGCCTGGCAGCAGAATACAGCGGTTTTAGTCATTTTCACGTATTGATTTTTAAATTTTTTTTTTGTGTGTTTTTAGAGAAATCTTATGAATAAATAAAAAATACAAATAATAAGTAATGCTTTGAGGATGTTAGATATTTTTAAGGCTAGATTTTGATTTAATAAAAAATATACTGATTAAGACAATTATTGCTTGCCATGTAACAGTGTAACAGTCTTATTAATTTTCATCCAATGACTGTTCCACTGACAGAAATGTTGAAATTGTATATAAAACTTGAGTGTTTTTCTTTCGTTTCAGAGTTCTCATTGGGCAGTTTCTGCAGTGTGGTGGATGTTATGAACTTCTCCAAGCTGAAAGTCTTAAGGCTGGAAGGAAATGAGATCAGTCCTGGAGAAATGCCCCCTGAAGCTGCCCTGTGCCTTCGTCTGGCCTCTGATATCGCTGTGTAATGGCATGGACCAATCAGCAGGGGGCTCTTTTGTTTCCCCTCCAATATTATTATCTCAAAGTGTCATAACATCGCATTGATGTACATTTTTATAGTAGGGAAGGTTAGAGTGCCTTGGGATTTTGTATCAGAGAAATATAATTTCCTGTGGACTTTAGAAAGGTACAAATAGAGAAATGGGGGGGGGGGGGGTGAAGGGAAATTGAGAGATTTAGATAGGAAATGGAGATCCTTTGTAAAGGTATGTGAAGCCAATCAAAAGCCACTTTGCCATTCTAATATGCTTTCTGTTGGTTAGATGACACTATTGGCAGTGCTAAAATCAACATTACAGTTTGCTATTTTGCTTGATGGACATTTGATTTACTTTAGGTTTGTGCAACCTGGATTCATGTCTCTTCAGGGAGGAGTTTGAACAATGCTGTGAGTATTTATTCTACACATGAGACAGAAGAACAGATCTGAGAACAGAAAAATCTTACTTGACTACATCGATCTGACTTGTTATTGTGTTATCTGATATGATATCATCATAAGAAAAGAAAAACCTTTTAAATCAGTAATCTCTCCAATATTCACATCTCTAAGAGGAAAGACAAAAACTTTGAATTGTTTTTTTAAGAGCAAATGTATTGCATGTGAATTAAAAAAAAAAATGACTGAGGTCCTGGTGTTTAAAATGCTTTCAGACCTTTCGTGTGGTTCAATAAAACGTATCATGATGTTTTAAATGCTTTGATGTGAGTTTAATACATTTGCAAACAAATCATACTTCACTAGTTTTCTGTACCAACTTTCATATCTTAATATCTAAACAGCTAATTTACTTCGTCTGATACTGATGTCATAGACTATAACACACTTTACCCTTAAGACACCATTCAAATTCAACATTCATTTGTTAGATTTTTTTCTTATTCATTTCTAAATATCAATTTATTGCTATTAATCTTAATTATATTGACACATCTTTGAAATGTTATTTGAGTATTCCTGCCCGCAGAACATTTAGGCCTGAATCAAGAAAGTAACCTTCAAAGACAAACTGTGGCAGTTGTGCTTTATGCCATGAATTAGTCACAGATTAATGTAATTCAATTTGCAAGTCATATGTTATAGCCTGCAGGTCATTGGTAATTATTGTCACATTACAAATATTTGAGAACATTGTGAGCTTAACAATGTTGTTTTGTTTGTCACCATGTGTTTGTGACAATGACATCATAGTGTGTAATAGGGAATATGCAATCCCACACCAGTTCGATTGTGACGTATTCAGGTGACTCACAGTCACAGTCTTCATTTGTACTGTTATATTTGTACTCCCATAATCCCAAAACCACAAAATATCCTATATTTAGATTATAGCTTTCTTTCTTTTTATCAAAGTCACTGCACATTGGAAATTCAATAGCACTGTCTATCTTTGACAATGAATGACTTGTTAGAGATAGTAAACTAAACAAAAAAAAGTGATTACCTTGAACAGCTCCATGAACACTTGAAATTACAGCACATTTGTCAAAGGAACTGATTTGTAATACTAAAATGCCCTTTTGACCACAAGCACTTTTTAGGTGCTCACTCTCATTCCAGTGACTTTATTTGAACTCTTAGAATATGATAACATGTTTCCTCTGAAACAGGCACATGTCTTTAAGGAAGGTGGGGTTTTTTTAACTGTAACTATACCTGATAAGCACTTTAATGACAGTCTGAACACTTTTGGGTAATAACATCATGCTGCGGCAGACAACGCATTACCTATCTCACAAATGGCTCACTAATCAGCAAACCATGCTATAATCTGATGCTTAACAAAATGACAGTGGGTTATAAGGCTTAAATACAGGTGGTGAGATGTTCAAACCTGTAGAAGTGTTGAGGGTGTTGAGTTAATAAGTTGCCTGATTATTTCAGGGTTGTGCTGTCTTTTCAGGCTTGATACAAAGATCTTATGTTTGCTCTCTCCATCCCTCAGTGTCCAGTGATTGAGGGTCTGTGGAATGTCAATAACACTTTTGGAATCTGCACTTTAACATGCTTTGAAAAAAAAGAAAAAAAAAGAAAACAGGGAAGTGGATTCATTTAATTCCCAGAATCTTTTCTTATGGTTTATTATACGTTTTCTTCTAAATTTAAGGATTAGCACACAATCAAAACATAACGATCAAACACAAAGTTTACTTCTATGGAACACAAGTTAAAGTCTTAAAATTTTTAAAGTAAAATCAACTTGGATATTTTAGTAATTTCAACGTAAACCACATTAAACTGACTTTAAAAAAATCGTTGAATCGTCTATAATTTTTTTGGAGGAAAATTGCTTTCATATTTTGATGAGTTAAAGCAATATAAAAACATCATAACTTATTGATCATATAATGGTTTTTTTTTTTGGTTTTTTTTACTGTGTATTGCTCTGTAAAACCACACCAAATCATAATTTTGAATCTTGTATAACTTATAATTTTTGGGGGGAAAATTGTTTTCATATTTTGACGAGTTAACGCAATATAAAAACATTATAACTTATTGATCATATAATTTTTTTAATGTGTAGTTGTCTGTAAAACCACATCAAATCATATTATAACTTATACATTTGGGGGAAAATTGCTTTCATATTTTGATGAGTTAAAGCAATATAAAAACATCAACTTATAGATCATATCATTTTTTACTGTGTATTGCTCTGTATACCAAATCATAATTTATATTAATAAAGCCAATCTTGCTTCCCTGAATAGCTCAGCCTTGCCTAAATGCTTACTAACAAACTTCATGGAAGTGATCTTGGTGAATAAATATGATTATGTCATACATATCTAAACCTTCATGTTGAATCATGAACAGTTGATGTTCATGGTTATGACAGGACGACTGTGAAGCTCCCTTTCTGAAGGAGTAAGTAGTGTATCAGGGGCCTTAGTTTACAGTCATTAGTAGTTTATTCTGACTCTTACTTGACTGGGCTAATTTTATGTGACTAAATTAGCCCAGTTCTTCCTGTGGAAAAAAGAGCAAACAATCTGTAGTTGGGTACTTACACACGGTATAATATTCCTCTCTCTCTCTCTCTCTCTCTCTCTCTCTCTCTCTCTCTCTCTCTCTCTCTCTCTCTCTCTCTCTCTCTCATATATATATATATATATATATATATATATATATATATATGTATATATATATATATATATAGAGAGAGAGTTATAATATGTATTATAATTCTCTCTCTTTCTCTCTCTCTCTCTCTCTCTCTCTCTCTCTCTCTCTCTCTCTATATATATATATATATATATATATATATATATATATATCTTATTAATAAATGTAATTAAAATGTGATAAAATGTAAAATATTGATTTATTATTGAAATATTTCAGTCAGATGAGATTATGATCAGTGATGTGTGCTGAACTGTGATGAACACACCATGTGTGATGTTTGGTCATGTTAAAAGGAAGTGGGGAGGGGTTTATGTCACCTATATAAGACTACCATGTAGATACAGTTTCAAGTTCACTCGGTCAGGTGTATCTATCACTTTAGCTCCCACTTTTGTGACTAATGAAAAATGAGGAAACACAACTTGAACAATATTACAGGAGTACTTTTCAAAAACTCAGTTGCAGTCGAGAAGGTATGTATTTATTGGAATGTTTTGATAATTTCGATAGTAAATTGAAAATTGTAAAGCAAGACCAACTGAATATTTTTTTGTGATGTGATTTAGTAATGAGTTTATATACAGTAATGAGTATACATAATATATATATATATATATATATATATATATATATATATTATTTATATAATATATATTATATTACTATGTATAATATTATATAATATATATTATTTATATTAATATATAATATATATTATTATTAATAATATATATTTTATTTTATTATTTATTTATTAATTAATTATTATTATTTATATTTTTTTTGCAGGATAAAGATGGGTCCAGCAACCCAGATCCTCAAGTTTGCCAGGACGATGAGAACACTGACAGGGGGAACTGGAGTAACAAACGAGAGTACTTGCTCTCTATGATCGGCTATGCAGTTGGTCTTGGAAATGTGTGGAGATTTCCATATTTGGCTTACAAACATGGGGGAGGTAAGTAACCTTTGTAAAGATTTCCCACAATCAGTGCATCTATAAATTAAACTAGAAGAGTAAAGTTAAAGAACTTTGAAGTTGGCTTGAGAAAGATAGACCAGAAATTTTTAAGTAATTTTAACAGCTTTAAGGTTTGAAGTTTACAGGTTTTAAGTTTTAAATGTTTTAAGTTTTAGTTTAGTGAGTTTAAAAGATCGATTTTTCAATAGATAGATACATATGTTTTATGAATACTGCATCTCCTTTACATTTCTAGGGGCTTTCCTCATCCCCTACACTATCATGTTAGCTGTTGCTGGCCTTCCCTTGTTCTTTATGGAGAGCTCTTTTGGACAATTCTGCAGCCAAGGCCCAATAAATGTGTGGAAAGCTGTGCCTATACTGCAAGGTAACATATGAGCATTTAAGGTGCCCCTATTATGCTACAGTACTTTAAATGTTCCTAATTTTGTTTTGGTGGTTGCCTACAACAGGTTTACATGCATCAAAGATCAAAAAACACTTTAATTTTCCCATAATATACATTGCACATCACCACATTTTTCGATGATTCTCAAACGACTTGTCAGTCTCTCTAAATCCTTCTGTTCCGAGAGCCTATTCTGCTCTGATTTCCCAGATGTCCTTGTCTGTTGTGATTGGTTTACTGCGTACACCACATGTCCAAAACAAAACACACATTACTGAACTTTAGCTCCGGAGGCTTCCTCAATCCTTAGCAATTGTGTACACTGTAAAGACAGTAACTAGCATCAATTTCACCATCAGATGTGAAACATTGGAATAGTTATTCATCTGGTTGAGTTATTTTTTTTTTTTTTTTTTAAAGTACTGGTTGATCTTATGTTTCGTTTTATGTTGGTTGCCTTTGCCTAAATGTCACCATGAAAATCTACAGCCTTAAGTTATTTTTCTTCATTTAAAGACTGTTTCTTTGTAAGATCCACCACAAAGTTAACAACACTGTTATAAATGTAGGCACTGACAGTGACAAGAAAGCCTATTCTTTAAATTTGAGAACAACTGTTTTTGTTCTCAGCTACAATTTGTTTAGTTCTTCACAAATAAATGAAAAGACTATTGAAATGAACATCTCCCCTTTTCTATCAGAATCTCACAGATTAAATTTATGATTGTCAGTGTCACAAACATGTATCTATTCCTAAGATCAAGCTACCTCATTCTTTGTTTACAGTCAGTCAGTGTTTACTGTGAGAAACGGATCTCGGGTTCGGCTTAAAATGTAACCCTAATGGTCGGGTCAGAATGGGTCAGGTTAAATGATTTCGGGTACGGACTGAGTTCAGGCTTCAGTTTAAAGCCCGTGCAGACCTCTAGTACTGACCCATATTTCAAGAGAAAGCATTTTGTGAATCTTGCGTTGAAGGGCGGGTCAAGTTGTTCGCGATTATGCAAATGTTTTTTTTTTCTAGTGACGTGTAGCCGTAACTGATTGGGATTCGAATTCCTGGCGACTCATTTAGACGGTTCAGAATCAATTCCTTCAATGATTTATCATGTGGTTTCAACTTAACAACTCTGCAGACCATTTACATTCACAGACAGCTATGTTACACATGCCATGGAAGGGAATGTTCGAAAAACCATAATAGGGGCACTTTAAATTCAACCTTAAATAGATAGTTCACCCAGAAAGGAAAATATCATCATCATTTACTCACACTCATGTTGTTCCAAATTTGTTGATGGGACTCCATTGAGTATTTTTTTCCCCCTCCGTAATATGGAGGTGTTTTTTTAATGGTTTTATGGTTACCCATATTCTTAAAATATCTTCTAAATGTTGACAGAATTTTCATTTTTTGGTGAGTTATCTCTTTTGGTAGATCTAGAAGCTGCAGAGGTGGTTTCTTAGATACGCACCAAGGATTTAGGTGGCCTTTGCCATATTTTCTGTTCTAAAGGTCCAGTAATGTGGTAAATGCCTTAGGGATAATTTGTACCTTTTTTAAACCAACCTTGAGACGTACTAAGGACAAATACTTTGCTGACACAGATAACTTGCAGATTGGACACTTACATGCCCTCAAGACTTTTACATTAATGTTTAAGGAGGTTTTCAGACACTAAAACACCCAACATGTGTAAATGAAGTTCATGCTTATTTAAACAAATAGATTCAAATGTATAATTTATACCTTAAACTTATCTTTTCATGTGATCTTTTGTAGGTGTTGGCATCACAATGATGCTGGTTAGCACTTTTGTGGCAATCTACTATAATGTGATCATTGCATACAGTATCTACTACCTGTTTGCATCTTTTCAATATCCTCTCCCCTGGAGTGTCGAGAACTGCAACTCAACAGGTGTGTTATACTGCTTCTCTTCTAAAGAGGCCAAATTTGCTGTGTCAGACATACCATGACTATTTGCTTAGATAATGAAAGTATTTGGATTATTCCAGATGAACTGGCTTTTTAAGGAATATGGGCTTTCCGCACTTAACTCTGTGACATATTTATCTGATGGGAATTTCCCTACAGCTCTGTGCTTAAAGATAAGATATTACAACCATAACTAGTTTAGATCCAACTACTGTTTCGCATGTTCAAAGTATTTATTTATAAAGATACTGTACAACCGACTAATAGTGCAGTAAATTGTCGTTTACACCGAATGTTGTATTTCAACAACATTTCTGCTGCAGCACTGAATGTGACTGTTGGGAATCAAACCTGCCAGGATGCATCCTTAGCTGGCCAGAGCCTCAGCGAGAAATACTGGGAGTAAGTTGACACTTGTTTTTTTACAATTCCTCCTTCAGTGAAACAGCTTGTTGTCACATTTCATTTCTTCCCAAGTTCTTGGATAAAACACAGACATGTTTAATATCTCAAATTAGACCCTAGATTTGTAACTTATTGTTTTGGGTTGTGTCAGTTCTGTAAGCACAGCACTAAAGACTTGCGGAGTGTAGTTTCTCTCCTGTTCTGAAGTGTTTCCTGTTGAAACAGGAAGTTTAGGTGATCTATCTTGTCGTTTGATGTTTACAAGACAGTAATTGTAAGATGGAAACCACAAACACAAAACTGTAGGTGTAAAAAGTGCCAAATGTTTGGTTTAAACCTAACACCACCCAACACATTTGTCTGATTTTAGAATGATTTTTGATATTTTAATAATTGTATAATGTTAATGGTAATGGTAACTATACAATCCTGTTCAAAAGTTAAAGATATAATACTTCCATTGAGCAAGAATGCAGTAACAGTAAAGACATTTATAATTTTACGAAAGATTCTGATAAATTTATTTTCTTTAAAGAAGCCTGAAAAAATATACCATGGTTTTCATAAAATCATCAAGCAGCACAACTGTTTTGATAACATTGATAATAATAAGAAGAATGTTTCCTGAGCACCGAATCAGAATGATTTCTGAAGGATCATGAAAATTATATATATATATATATATATATATATATACAGTATTTCTCAATACTAATGCTTTTGCTATATTTAAAATAAATAAACAAACAAACAAACAAACAAACAAATGCATCCCTGGTGAGCATAAGACTTCTTAAAGGAGTAGTTCACTTTTAAAAAAAACTTACCAAAGTTTAAGTCTTATAAGCTCAAATGGTCGCCTTGCTCTGTTCTGTGCCTTCGTGAGTCTTCTGTTCGAACTCGTTCATCAAAATGAACGAATCTTTTTTCATATCATTTGGTTCATTCAACGAACTAAATGAACGAGTTGACTCGGTAAAAGATTCGTTCATTTTGATGAACGAGTTCGAACAGGAGAGTCACGGCGTCATTAGAACAGGCGAACAGACCATTTGAGCTTATAAAACTTAAACTTTGTTTTTTTTTTCAAATGAGCGATCGTGTCGCTAGATAAGACCCTTATTCATCGTCTGAAATCGTTTAAAGCCCTTTGAACAGTTTGAAGTTTGCACTGAAACTGTCTTTTGGACCTTGAACCGTTTGGTTCCCATTGAAGTCCATTATATGGAGAAAAATCCTGGAATGTTTTCATCAAAAACCTTAATTTCTTTTCGACTGAAGAAAAAATGACATGGACATCTTGGCTACTAAAATGTCTAATAATAAATAACATTGAAATAATTAAAATATCTTTCTCCATTTAGTCTTGATTGATGATAGTCAACGGGTCCATGTCACGAGGGCAAACTTGCAGTTTGATACCCTGTTATAACCTAGAAAATAACCCTGTTCCAAACAACCTTGATCCCTGAGTACAACACACAGTAGGCCACATTCATTCATGCGTTGTATGCAACTGGTATTCTTTCTCTACATTCTTTTTTGTTGATTGTGTGTTTTCCTTTTTACATTGAATATTTTATTTGTCCTCAGTGAGGTGGCCCTTCAGCGCACTAGCAGTATGAATGAAACGGGGCCAGTGGTGTGGCACCTGGCCCTCTCCCTGCTGCTCTCCTGGATACTAGTCGGAGCAGCTCTCTTCAAAGGCATCAAGTCCTCTGGGAAGGTTAGTGTTTCACCCCAGAAACATTAAGTTGTATCTGTACAATAAATTGTATTAAGACGGCAAGAGCATTTTTGGATTCAATTGAACATAGATGGTATGTTTCAGGTGGTGTATTTCACAGCCACTTTCCCATACCTCGTCCTTTTAATCTTGTTAATTCGTGGTGTAACTCTAGAGGGAGCGATGGACGGCATTGAGTTCTACATCGGTACAAAGTCCAACATGACCAAACTGGCTGATGCTGAGGTTTGTAAAGATCGAACCGTACTTGAATACACATAAATCATACAGTTATTAACGCAGGCTGTTTTTATCGTAGGTTTGGAAGGATGCAGCTACTCAGATCTTCTTTTCTCTTTCCATTGCTTGGGGTGGTTTGATGACTCTGTCCTCTTACAATAAGTTTTACAACAACTGCTACCAAGACTCCATTATTGTGTGTGTTACAAACTGTGGTACCAGCATCTTTGCTGGCTTCGCCATATTTTCTATCCTTGGGCACATGGCGCATGTCTATCAGAAACCAGTGTCAGAAGTTGCAGATGCAGGTAGGATCAGAAATGTAAAGTGTTATTTTTAAGTGCTGTATCTGCAGAACAATTTTTAATACAAAGCAAATAATAAAATGAGTAATTTGTGATGAAAGCCATAGTTTAACCAAAAAATAAATGACAAACGGTTCTTTAGCTTATAAAATGTTAAAAAATGGTTCTTTTAAAAACTGTTGACTGAAAGGTATGGTATTCGTCACGGAGTAAAAAAAAAAAAAAATACAAAATGTAATTGCGACTTTTTATCTCACAATTCTGACTTTTTTTCCCTCACAATTGCAAGCATACATCTTGCAATTCTGACTTTTTTTCATAGTTTATGAAAAAAACATAGTTTCATAGTTTTTTTTTTATAGTTATAAAACTATAATTGCAAGATATAAACATACATTCTGAGAAATAGTCACAATTGTAAGAAAAATTAGATATAAACGTGCAATTGCGAGTCATAAAGTCATAATTGTGAGGTATAAACTTGCAATTGTGAGACATAAAGTCCAATTCTGAAAAAAAGTCACAATTCTGATATTTTCTCACAAGTGCAAGTTTAAATCTCGTAATTCAGATTTTTTTCAGGATTGGAAGATGAAAACTCACTGCTGCAAATTCTGACTTTATAACTTGCAATTGCACATTTATAGAATTGCTACAGTAGATGTAAAACTTGCAATTGCAAGAAAAAAAGTGAGAATTTTGGGCTGAAAAGTAGCAATTACTTTTTTCATTTTTATTCAGTGATGGAAACAAGCTTCCATAGAAAGGGAATCTTTGGATGAACAATTGAAACCGTTTTAGCAAGAAGCTAAGTTGCCATTTGTGTTTTAGGTTTTGGCTTAGCCTTCATTGCATACCCTGATGCCCTCTCTAAGCTGCCCATATCACCCCTGTGGTCAATCTTGTTCTTCGTCATGCTTATTACCCTTGGCTTGGACTCCCAGTTTGCAGGAATAGGTAAAGAACAGATTTATAATAAATCTTTTTTTTTTTTTAATCGGTACTCAAATATTTGATTCGAATCATGATCTACAGAGGTTATCAGCACTTGCTTTCAAGATGCCTATCCCAAAGTTCTGAAGTCCAAACGGGGACTTGTTACGACAACGGTCTGCATTGTTCTTTTTCTGCTTGGCTTGCCATGCGTTACTGGGGTAAGCAAACTGTTCTGAACAGCACTGATTAGGTTGAAGGTTCAGAGAGTCTCTACAACTCACTATTACAAAATGAACCCAATTGTACTTTTAAAATCTATGTTTTGAAAGGCAGGGATATACTGGGTGAATTTATTGGACACATTTTCTGCTGGATGGATTCTCCTGGTTGCTGGATTACTGGAGGTCTTGGGTTTATGCATCCTTTACGGTAAGCATATGTTAGTAATATGTTATATTATTCTTCAATTATTGTTCTGCCCTTTTCTAAAATTCACGAGTTACATTTTCAGGTGGTAATCGTTTCATCAAGGACATTGAGATGATGATTGGGTCCAAGAGCTCCCTCTTCTGGTTATGGTGGAGAGCTTGCTGGTTCTTTATCACCCCAGTGGTTCTTTCTGTATGTACATATATATATATATATATATATATATATATATATATATAAATTGTACTCGATGATGATGTTGTTTTTGAAATAACATTTTGTTGTTTTTAATGCAGATTATTCTTGTATGGTCTTTGTATACTTATACGCCCCCTACATATGGCTCAGTTGCATACCCAGATTGGGGCATTTCCCTGGGCTGGTGTATTACTGCATTTTGCCTCATTTGGATCCCTATTCTTGCGACCTGGAACGTGTACAAAGCTAGCGGAGGCCCCTGGCAGGTAAAGCAGAATCTTCACATTTTTATCTGTTGGCATTAAAATATTACCATGCATACTATATCAGTGGGGCATTGTATTCTTTAGTCATATTCATCTCTTGTATTTTGTCGTACAGCGTATCAAAGCAGCCTGTTCACCCAGAGAGGACTGGGGTCCTTACTTGGAGTGTCACAGAGGAGAACGTTACGGTACGAGAGACGTGGCTGATGCAAATATATTTGTAATCTCGAATAAATTCACTACTAGGTTGTAAAAAATGTTTAACATAATCATAACAGTATGTAACTTAACATAGTAAGTAAGATAACTTAACATTTTAATGTATATACTTTTAATCCCTTTGTTTGAATTAATTGCATTCTAGTTGAATTTGTGTGGATTTTATTTGTATGAGACGTTTGTATGTTTACTTTTATCTTTTTAGTTGCTCTTAATGGAACATGTACCATTTATGTTTTAATGTCCAAATTGAAATGTAATATTCATATTCTATTAATGTTCTGAATACTACGTATATAACAAATATTTTAACAGGGGTTTCATGCGATACCTGTCCTAACTGTACATGTGCATCAGATACCTGTGTGTGTGTTTACAGGGGTTTCACGTCAGATACCAGTCCTAATTGTACATGTGCATCAGATACCTGTGTGTGTGTTTACAGGGGTTTCATGAGATACCTGTCCTAACTGTACATGTGCATCAGATACCTGTGTGTGTGTTTACAGGGGTAGCATGAAACCCCTGTAAACACACACACAGGTATCTGATGCAGACGTACAGTTAGGACAGGTATCGCATGAAACCCCTGTAAACACACACACAGGTATCTGATGCAGACGTACAGTTAGGACAGGTATCGCATGAAACCCCTGTAAACACACACAGGTATCTGATGTACATGTACAGTTAGGACAGGTATCTCATGAAACCCCTGTAAACACACACACAGGTATCTGATGCAGATGTACAGTTAGGACAGGTATCGCATGAAACCCCTGTAAACACACACAGGTATCTGATGCAGACGTACAGTTAGGACAGGTATCGCATGAAACCCCTGTAAACACACACACAGGTATCTGATGCAGATGTACAGTTAGGACAGGTATCGCATGAAACCCCTGTAAACACACACAGGTATCTGACGCAGACGTACAGTTAGGACAGGTATCTCATGAAACCCCTGTAAACACACACACAGGTATCTGATGCAGATGTACAGTTAGGACAGGTATCGCATGAAACCCCTGTAAACACACACAGGTATCTGATGCAGACGTACAGTTAGGACAGGTATCGCATGAAACCCCTGTAAACACACACAGGTATCTGATGCAGATGTACAGTTAGGACAGGTATCTCATGAAACCCCTGTAAACACACACACAGGTATCTGACGCAGACGTACAGTTAGGACAGGTATCTCATGAAACCCCTGTAAACACACACACAGGTATCTGATGCACATGTACAGTTAGGACAGGTATCGCATGAAACCCCTGTAAACACACACAGGTATCTGATGCAGATGTACAGTTAGGACAGGTATCGCATGAAACCCCTGTAAACACACACAGGTATCTGATGCAGATGTACAGTTAGGACAGGTATCGCATGAAACCCCTGTAAACACACACAGGTATCTGACGCAGATGTACAGTTAGGACAGGTATCGCATGAAACCCCTGTAAACACACACACAGGTATCTGATGCAGATGTACAGTTAGGACAGGTATCGCATGAAACCCCTGTAAACACACACAGGTATCTGACGCAGATGTACAGTTAGGACAGGTATCGCATGAAACCCCTGTAAACACACACAGGTATCTGATGCAGATGTACAGTTAGGACAGGTATCTCATGAAACCCCTGTAAACACACACACAGGTATCTGATGCAGATGTACAGTTAGGACAGGTATCGCATGAAACCCCTGTAAACACACACAGGTATCTGATGCAGATGTACAGTTAGGACAGGTATCGCATGAAACCCCTGTAAACACACACACAGGTATCTGACGCAGATGTACAGTTAGGACAGGTATCGCATGAAACCCCTACACACACACAGGTATCTGACGCAGATGTACAGTTAGGACAGGTATCTCATGAAACCCCTACACACACACAGGTATCTGACGCAGATGTACAGTTAGGACAGGTATCTCATGAAACCCCTACACACACACAGGTATCTGATGCGCATGTACAGTTAGGACAGGTATCTCATGAAACCCCTACACACACACAGGTATCTGATGCAGATGTACAGTTAGGACAGGTATCGCATGAAACCCCTGTAAACACACACAGGTATCTGACGCAGATGTACAGTTAGGACAGGTATCTCATGAAACCCCTACACACACACAGGTATCTGATGCAGATGTACAGTTAGGACAGGTATCGCATGAAACCCCTGTAAACACACACAGGTATCTGACGCAGACGTACAGTTAGGACAGGTATCGCATGAAACCCCTGTAAACACACACACAGGTATCTGATGCACATATACAGTTAGGACAGGTATCGCATGAAACCCCTGTAAACACACACAGGTATCTGATGCAGATGTACAGTTAGGACAGGTATCACATGAAACCCCTGTAAACACACACAGGTATCTGATGCAGATGTACAGTTAGGACAGGTATCTGACGTGAAACCCCTGTAAACACACACAGGTATCTGATGCACATGTACAGTTAGGACAGGTATCGCATGAAACCCCTGTTAAACACACACACAGGTATCTGATGCAGATGTACAGTTAGGACAGGTATCGCATGAAACCCCTGTAAACACACACAGGTATCTGACGCAGACGTACAGTTAGGACAGGTATCGCATGAAACCCCTGTAAACACACACACAGGTATCTGATGCACATATACAGTTAGGACAGGTATCGCATGAAACCCCTGTAAACACACACAGGTATCTGATGCAGATGTACAGTTAGGACAGGTATCACATGAAACCCCTGTAAACACACACAGGTATCTGATGCAGATGTACAGTTAGGACAGGTATCTGACGTGAAACCCCTGTAAACACACACAGGTATCTGATGCACATGTACAGTTAGGACAGGTATCGCATGAAACCCCTGTTAACACACACACAGGTATCTGATGCGCATGTACAGTTAGGACAGGTATCGCATGAAACCCCTGTTAACACACACACAGGTATCTGATGCGCATGTACAGTTAGGACAGGTATCTCATGAAACCCCTACACACACACAGGTATCTGACGCAGACGTACAGTTAGGACAGGTATCGCATGAAACCCCTGTAAACACACACAGGTATCTGATGCAGATGTACAGTTAGGACAGGTATCGCATGAAACCCCTGTAAACACACACAGGTATCTGACGCAGACGTACAGTTAGGACAGGTATCGCATGAAACCCCTGTAAACACACACAGGTATCTGATGCGCATGTACAGTTAGGACAGGTATCTCATGAAACCCCTACACACACACAGGTATCTGACGCAGACGTACAGTTAGGACAGGTATCGCATGAAACCCCTGTAAACACACACAGGTATCTGATGCAGATGTACAGTTAGGACAGGTATCGCATGAAACCCCTGTAAACACACACAGGTATTTGATGCACATGTACAGTTAGGACAGGTATCGCATGAAACCCCTGTAAACACACACAGGTATTTGATGCACATGTACAGTTAGGACAGGTATCGCATGAAACCCCTGTAAACACACACAGGTATCTGATGCGCATGTACAGTTAGGACAGGTATCGCATGAAACCCCTGTAAACACACACACAGGTATCTGATGCAGATGTACAGTTAGGACAGGTATCGCATGAAACCCCTGTAAACACACACACAGGTATCTGATGCAGATGTACAGTTAGGACAGGTATCGCATGAAACCCCTGTAAACACACACAGGTATCTGATGCGCATGTACAGTTAGGACAGGTATCGCATGAAACCCCTGTAAACACACACAGGTATCTGATGCGCATGTACAGTTAGGACAGGTATCGCATGAAACCCTGTAAACACACACACAGGTATCTGATGCAGATGTACAGTTAGGACAGGTATCGCATGAAACCCCTGTAAACACACACAGGTATCTGATGCGCATGTACAGTTAGGACAGGTATCGCATGAAACCCCTGTAAACACACACACAGGTATCTGATGCAGATGTACAGTTAGGACAGGTATCGCATGAAACCCCTGTAAACACACACACAGGTATCTGATGCAGATGTACAGTTAGGACAGGTATCGCATGAAACCCCTGTAAACACACACAGGTATCTGATGCAGATGTACAGTTAGGACAGGTATCGCATGAAACCCCTGTAAACACACACAGGTATTTGATGCACATGTACAGTTAGGACAGGTATCGCATGAAACCCCTGTAAACACACACAGGTATTTGATGCACATGTACAGTTAGGACAGGTATCGCATGAAACCCCTGTAAACACACACAGGTATCTGATGCGCATGTACAGTTAGGACAGGTATCGCATGAAACCCCTGTAAACACACACACAGGTATCTGATGCAGATGTACAGTTAGGACAGGTATCGCATGAAACCCCTGTTAACACACACACAGGTATCTGATGCGCATGTACAGTTAGGACAGGTATCTCATGAAACCCCTACACACACACAGGTATCTGACGCAGACGTACAGTTAGGACAGGTATCGCATGAAACCCCTGTAAACACACACAGGTATTTGATGCACATGTACAGTTAGGACAGGTATCGCATGAAACCCCTGTAAAACACACACAGGTATCTGATGCGCATGTACAGTTAGGACAGGTATCGCATGAAACCCCTGTAAACACACACACAGGTATCTGATGCAGATGTACAGTTAGGACAGGTATCGCATGAAACCCCTGTTAACACACACACAGGTATCTGATGCGCATGTACAGTTAGGACAGGTATCTCATGAAACCCCTACACACACACAGGTATCTGACGCAGACGTACAGTTAGGACAGGTATCGCATGAAACCCCTGTAAACACACACAGGTATTTGATGCACATGTACAGTTAGGACAGGTATCGCATGAAACCCCTGTAAACACACACAGGTATTTGATGCACATGTACAGTTAGGACAGGTATCGCATGAAACCCCTGTAAACACACACAGGTATTTGATGCACATGTACAGTTAGGACAGGTATCTGACGTGAAACCCCTGTATATAATATATCATATACATACTAATCAGTATGGGTAATTAACATATAATTATCTTATATTGCAAACATTTGTATGACAAAAATGAGGGTAAGAAAACATTTAGGTACATGTGATTCATATTGTTAATCAGTGGTGTAATGTATTTGAGTAAATGTAATTATTGGTTACTTGACTACATTTTTTATTTTGTTTTTGAAGTATTATATGTATTCTTTACTCCAATACATTTCTAAAAAATAATACACTTTTTCTGTTTGCTACATAACAAATTATATTTGTTAATGCCATCTACAGGGCATTGAAGGTACTATATCTTTTGCTTTTGCCCTTACTCACCCAAACTTGTCAACAAGGCTTCTGTATGTGAATGCAAGTGCATAAGCAGGAAGTTGCATATGTTCCTTATATGAGATGAGGACACGACTGCAGCCAGGGTTGAGACTGAAACCAGTCCAGAGAATTTGACTATTTAATTTTTCTTAACATTATCTTATTTATCCGTTATATTGAAGAGAACTTTTTGAAGGTATTGGTTTAACTTTTGAAGTTATTTTTGATATTGGTTTATTATGCCCTTTTTGAGCACTCGAGTAACCAAGACTTGAGTGCTTGTAGACGTTTAAAAGGCTGTTGTGTCGATCTTTATTTATTGCAATATTGAGGTGTTCACTTTGTCAAAAATAAATAAATAAAGAAATAAAATAATTATAACTATCTCATGGCCTCAAAATAGTTAACTCGTGGCCTCAAGATATAGTAAGTCTTGGCCTCAAGATAGTAACTCGTAGCCTCAAGAGAGTAACACATGGCCTCAAGATAGTAAGTCTTGGCCTCAAGATAGTTAACTCGTGGCCTCAAGATAGTTACTCGTGGCCTCAAGATAGTAACTCGTGGCCTCTAGATAGTTAACTCGTGGCCTCAAGATATAGTAAGTCTTGGCCTCAAGATAGTAACTCGTGGCCCAAGATAGTAACTTGTGGCCTCAAGATATAAGTAAGTTAGCCTCAAGATAGTAACTTGTGGCCTCAAGATAGAAACTTGTGGCCTCAA